CCCCAAAACCCCAAAACCCCATTGGAGATTGGAATTATTAAATCAAGAGTTTAAAAAAGAAATCAAGCTTTTTTAGATAGAAATCAATTATATATTTAAATTAATGCTAATTAGTGACTTTTTTCCGGTTCATCACTGTATGTTATGATATCTCTGACTATTCTTCTTTGCCTTGTACTTATTTTGATAAGAATAGTTCATATTATCACCCTTAGCCAAAAATTTAAGGGTATCTCTAAAATTACTTGATGTAGCAAGTTAAGCTGTCTCTTTTAAACTATTCAAGTCTCTTTAATCGTTACTGCTCAGAAAGGACTTCTAATAATTTTAGATTTGCTACTATTAATCCTGTATTGAAATAAATGAGCCTTAACTTATCTAATTGTGATTTGAGATTTTCTGAATCGCTTTATTTGATTTGAATGTTTATTAAGGAAAGTCAAGCTTAAATTTTCTCATGTCCTTTTTTAATTTAGTTTCCTCCATTGCTCCCATACTATTCCTCTTCTATTCTCTGTCATATACAATAAGTCTACTTTAATCAGAACCCTTTACAGCAGCTGTTGTATCTGGTGTATTTTTTTTAGGGGTTTCAATAACCTAATTACTTTTAAGATCGATCCTTCTACGTTTGCTTACCCTTGATATTATGTTTCTTTTGCTTTTAATCAACTTAAGTTGCTAGATCTACTCTTAAATTTCCTCTTCCTTGATGTAGATCTGATCTGATCCTTAGCTTGCAAAACGATGTGCATACTTTTACACTTTAGAGTCATGCTGAGATCTCAGGATTTAGCGCTACTTATCATGAGAGTCTTTATCTATATTTTCCTCGATTTAAAGGTTAGAGCGGTATTTATTGTGAGAAGTCTTATAAAATACGAGGTTTTTAAGTTAATTTAAATCTGTTGGAGTTGCATTGCTTATTATTAAATTCTTCGATGAAAGAACATTGTTAAGGTACAATATGGATTGATTCTGTGTGTCAGTTGATAACGCCTTTTAAGATTCTTTATAAACTGTGTTGATATTGTTATCCTCAAGACTTAAAGCTGAATCAATTGGTTCGTTATCAATTCTTATATCTATTATCTTTTGCTATTTCTAACTTGCATCTTTACTTAGTAATACTGATTTGCTATTTTTGTCCTTGTATTTACTTTTCTTGATATAGTTTGGGGGCATTTAGGTATTATTAAGGAAGCTATTGACAAAGCTGCCAAAACTTTTATTCTTATCATTTTGCATTCCTGAAGTTCCAGCACCTGAAGGAGATAAATTATTCAGATTAGCGAGTTTATTGAAGTTTGTCTGAGTTTTACTTTTATTGTTTTTTTAGTCAAGATGCTTAAACCTATCAAGGGATAACTCTCTTATACTTTTAAGCACCTTATTCCTATCAATTTAATTCTTGTTGAAATCCTATGTAAAGGAATCTCGAGGTCTGTAGCTGCTTTTTGAGTTCAAGTAGTTCTTAAATGTCTCTAAGTTCTTAAATTAGATAATGCCAATAGACTCTCTGTGACTTTTATCTTGGAAAACCAAACTCTCTTCTTGATCATCTGATTTTGGTTGTTTATAAGAATAGTCCACATATCCAGTGAGTTAAGGTTAAAGGATATTACTCTTGAGAACTTTATATTATGAACTATTTTCTGAAAACATCATAGCTCGTGAAAGTAATTACCTCTCTGTAGCATTGAAAGTGACATCATTCTACGCTTAAGCTCTTATACTTTTAGGTGTAAAATCCTTACGAATCTGCATGCCAATTAATTGATCATTTTAAGTCTTGAAGGTTTCTTATGATGCTCTCTTCTAAAACTTAGACTTTCTATTGTTGAAAAATGAACTTGCTGCGTCTTTATTAGGCACTAGCATGTCTTTAAAATGCCTCTAGATATGTTTTTAGTTTTCCAAAACTAAATCAACTTTTTTGATTGATTAAGCTTGGTCCCCTAGCCTATTTCTAATGTCTAAATTGCTAAAGTTTGTGCGCTGAGAACTAATGAATTAAGCTTTAGCTTGATCTAGATTTGATAAAGTGCCGTGAGGTAGATTATTCAAAGAATTAGTTGCAATTACACCAGTACCAGATACTAGCTTATTCAATGCATATTTATCCTCTTTAGAGCGATGACTGACAGACTGAATTTGAGATTTCGATTAGGTGAGGGTACCTCTTTCATTACGAGAGGTGGAATTATTTCTATATGACTCAATTGTTTCATTGATAATGTAGATTTTATCACTGCTCTGTAGATTCTTATTATTGGTTACGTTACTGTTAGTGATGTTGTACTTCTTTTCAATTTGTTTATTCAATACTGATGTCTTGTGCAAACTTTCACTATCTGTTTAATTGGACTATGGGTCTGAGCTCTACCTGGTATAACTTTAATCCCGGTTTTATTGCTATGCAATAAAGATAGCTTGCTTAACTTTTTCTATGGCCTGATCATATTGAACCATATCTTTGACTATATCATTCTTGTTTCTCACTGTTACAGGAATACTTCTTTTCATGGACTAATTATCTTTATCATATGAATATAGAATGCTCTCAATAAATCGTAGCCAGCTGTCAATCTCATGCTATTCCTTCTGTAGTTTCTTCATTTGAATTAATTATGCTTTGCGATCTGTATCTAAGTTATCAGGATTAGAGTCTTGAGCAGCAGGTGAAACTGAGGTCTATTCTAGAATTTAACGTTTTTAAGAAGGGCTCTATTCTAAAGATAATGATTGATTTGTTTCCTGACTAATTATTGCTGATTTGTTTTATCAATGATATTTCCCTTAGTTATTTCTATTCATTTTTCTTTTTCTACATAAAATTAAGATACTTTATAAACTAAGAATTACAAAAGGCCATGAAAAAATGTATTATTTGTAGGGTTTTAAGGTATGAAGCTGCCATGAATTACAGGCATTTAAATTTGATCCATTGCAATTAAAATCACGAAATTATATATTTTTCATAATTTAGTCTTACAGCTTATACTCTAAGTAAACATCATCTGGGGTTTTGGGGTTTTGGGGTTTTGGGG